TGGACTAGATGACCCACAGAGGTCCCTTCCAACCCCTACCATTCTGTGATTCTGTGATTCTGTGCTCCCACATATTTGCCTGTTTGTGGATATCTCCATCATCCTCCACAGTGAGCCCTAACCCAGGGTCAGTCCTGGTCTTTAAACCAAAGCCCGCTGTGTCCTGGCTCTGGTTGTCTGGGGAGAGCTGCAGGCAGGGGATGCAACGTCTGCTCTGGGTCAAAGCTGTGGGTAGGACAGCAGACAGTGCTGCGAGCTGCTGTCGCAGGATGGGCTGCCAGCTCATGGGATGGGTTGCTGGGTCACAGAATGAGCTGCCGAGCTGCGGGATGGGCTGCTGGATGGCGGGATGGGCTGCCAGGCTGTGGGATGGGCTGCTGGATCACAGGATGGGGAGGGCTCGTAGCGCCCTACGGGACCCGCGAGACTCTGATGCCCGTTCTGAGACATGGGATTTCTTGCCTTGCACAAGGTGAAGGAGAATAATCCAATGAGTGCTTTATCATGCTAGACATTTAACAACATTTGGAATTTTGAGTATTGCAGTAAATTATAAACTAGATTACTGAAGACAAATTAATAGAAAATACGCCTTATTTTTAAAATATATTAATAACTATACAATTATAACAGAATTGTTATAAATATTTATATAAATATTATAAATATATGAATGCAGTAAAAGCTCACCATCATATGCAAGAAGTATTCATTACTGATACACAAAGTAAGCTCTATTTTAAATATAATGTGATTTTTATTTTGTAACATGTTACTGAAATGTTAGTAACTCCTCCCATGAAATATAGGGAGGGGAGACGGAAAGACTAATAATTCCCTGCAGTGCTGTGCATAGGAAGTATTTATATTCATTTATTGGTGTTAGAAAGGGTTGTTGCCTCTGCTTTGAGATGGAATGAAAATAATATGCTATATTTAGAAGTGAAAAAAAGAAGGAAGTGTTTTCCCTAACCATCCAAAGAGGCTGATGCCTGTAGAGGGATGTGAATGCTGTTTGCAGGTGTTTCTACTCTCCACAGTCTCCTATCCTTGTTAAGCTTATAAACTTGCAAACAATATAATACAGTTGACATATCTTGGCTGAATTATTTTCATGTGATTTTTAGAAGATAAATGGAAAAGGGAAAAAAAAGAAAATCAGTTTCCAAAATGTCATGTCCATTTTCCCAAACCTTCTGCCCTTGATCCACAGCGAAGTGTCACGGTGCCGGGAGCACTATGCCTTCTTCTGTGGTTGTGTTGAAAGTCACACTGTAAGGTTCAACTGAGACATTAATTAAAAACCAGAAAAAAAAAAAAAAGCTAAAAGTCTCTGAAATGCCATGGCAATTATGTACCTAAATTGAACTTTAATGAGAATGCTCAGTCTGTGTTGGTAGTTGTGGCTGGGGGTTTTTTTCCAATACTATATT